TTAAAAACGTAGTTAAAACTAATGCCATAAACCAAACTTTCCCGATTAACGTTTTGATGATATATAACAACTTCAGAATGTTCTCTTTCTCTCTCTAGCAAAATATTTATTGCCTTGTACTGAGATGAGCACATGTACATCCAGATGTACACTGACCATACGCTAACAGCAATGATTTCACCACAACAGCCGAATATACTACTGCAAAGGAAATTGTTTTAAGGGAGATGTCTGATAAAGTGGAGGTTGAGGCAGACATCCAGAAGTGTAGAATTCCACCATCACGTTCTTCCAGCATTGTGAAATGTTTACACCTCTTTTCTGCCTCATAAAAGGAAATGACCCAGAGGAGAATTGACTTCAGGTCTTAATCCTAGTCGAGGTTCTACAATGAATGCACAGAATATACAACTGTCTTACTCTTACTCTCCTCCCCATGCAATGGAGATGCAGCACTGTCTGATCTCACGCAGCTGTTGCTATGTTCATGTAACTTCATTCTTCAAATGGTTGCACTAATAGAAAACAGCTCAAATAATTGCAGAGAATTCAACCACAGTGAAATCAATAGTTTTTCTCACATGAAAAGCAAAAAGAGCAAATGCAGAGATTTCCGAAAGGCCTCCTTACTGATAGCATCCCCATGCAGTATGGAGCAAGATGAGCAAAACTTGAGCACCTTACCGCAGTGTTATCAGTATTTATGACACAGGCTTGATCCAATGCATTAAGGCAATAGTGAAGATGCATTTATGGTGTATAAAACTGCCTTACTCCTGTTTAGTTCTTTGGTGTATAGGAGTAATGCAAACCTAACGGTTTGCAGTGGTCTAACTAGAGCCATGGTACGGTGGCACTAGTACGACTACATAAACTGGAAAAAAAAATAATAATCACACCTGTAGCTCATATAGCTGCTGGCAAAGACCTATGTTTAAGTAAAACTTCACAAAGTTACTGAAGCAAGATTGGATGGCTATGAAAAAAAGGAGTTAACAAAGCACATCAAGAAACTAAATAGCTGGAAGTGAAAGCTGTTGTGAAAATGTACCTGTTAAACGACTCTCACATGACAGAAAGTAAATTCTGCACAACCCTGGAGTACTACCAGAGTGCATGGCCATACCACTGACTTGAACCTTCTGATAGAATCAGTGAAGGTGGCTGTCACACCTAAGCATGAAATATAACATTGACAAGCTCATCCCAGAACACAGGCAGATAAGGACAGGACCAAACTGCTCCATGCAAACACAAACGGTTCAGACCAATGAAAGGACTGTGTGCCTTTTGCCTTTTAGACTAGCTGTCCACGTTCTCTGATTATATCAGTTCGTCTAATTAAAAAAAAAAAAAAAAAAAAAAAAAAAAAAAAAAAAAAAAACACCAAACCAAACCAAAAAAACCCCCACAACATTTCCAGAGGCACTTTGGTTCTCCTATATCCTGTAACTATTACAGCTGGAAGACTTCCACAGAAGACTCTTAAAAATTCTACCTTCTACATTCTGACCAAGAGCACAAACATCCTTAAAAGTAACAATTTCACTCCAAATATGCTCAGAAGTCAAGGTTACTCCTGGATTTCAGAAAATCTCCTGTATTGCTAGTATATTATTTCTGACACAACTTGGAAAAGAGAGCAGCAGAAAACAAAGAAGTGAAGAAACACAGAACTGGCACGGAGCACTGAGTTTCCAGCCAGCTCTGAGATCAAAGGGCCAGGTTTTACAGCTACTAGGAGAATCAGTGGGAAGCAGCAAGGGGAGCTGCACCTGCTATACAAACTGCGTAACTACCTTGAATGGTCCTCCTGCCCTGGAAAAAAGGAAAGGCAGAAATAGGGCAGCCAATGATGCAGGGATTTATTTCAAGGTGTGACATTTTCTCTGCCTTCAGAGATTTCCTCTGAACCTTGAACAATGTCACCTCCTTCAGATTACCCTCTTCATGGAATTACAGCAACCCACAGCTTTCAGATTCATAGGGTTATGCAAAATGTAACGAGTGGTAAACTACATCATTAATTCTACCGGCTAAACAGAACCAACCTCTCCCTGTCTATCCAGTTGGGCTTTCTGAAGTGGGAACGAAAACCAGAGGAAAAAAACAACCACTGCCAACTAAACCTATTATTCTAATGACATATGAAAATAGCTATTTTGAGGTGTTACTTTTGCATCAGTCATTTTCAAAGTAGAAAAACATCAACTGCATCTGAAGATCATGATGGACAGATTGTAACAGAGAGCTAATAAGTGCTGCAAGCAAAATGAAATAGGAAAGCACAGTATCTTTCTTCAATGGCAATACACCAGAACTAAAGAAGGAGGCTGTGACAGCTTTTCAATGCTCTGGAGATTTTGTACAGTCATTCATCACCACCATACCTGCCCCAATACATTTTGTTCAGGGATTATTGGCATATATCTAAAATGGGAATGGGGCAAGAAAATGACAAGCATATATCTCTCTTCTTCTTCATCTGTATCATGTTGGCTAGGTGTTTGGACCCAGAAGTTTCAGCTGATTATTCACCACTTAAAGCTATCCTCAGTTACTGCTCTGGACTGTATTGTATCTGTGAAAAAAGATGCACAATAATAATAAGAAGAGTGATTACAGCCCTCGCCATCTTCAAAGTACTTTTGAGGTAGTTGGATTAACAGTAAACTGCTAATCCAAAGAGAGAAAACTCATCTATTGGTGTGATTGAAATACTGAGCGTATTTGCCAGAAATGCATGGGAACTATGTCCTGAGCAGTAGCCACTGTTTTTTTACAAAACTTGTATGAAATAAATTACTTTTTAACTTGCAGAAAAAAAAACGCTTTTCTATTTAAAGCATACAATTTTGTTTTCAGTTACTGATCTATTACTAATGGGACTTCGTGTCACCCATAAAATCATTATTGTATGGTAAGTTGAAGTGCATTACAACATATTTTCCTAAACTGTATTCAGTGCACTGGGTATCATCAACTGCTTTTCAGAAAACTTTAATGAAGACTTAAACCTTAGTAAGTTACATATTGTTAGCCAAAAAGCGCTGAAACACCTTTTCGCGTACCTGCATTCATTTTCTATTTGCCAGAAAGTAAAATGATTTTGTCCATAGTTTGTCAGTAGTCTACGCTCATCCGCTTCTCACGATAGATTGGAAAAAGTTCTGGCATAGTGATGTCCCTAACAAGTATGTTACATACTGGAAAATGCTTTTCATTAATACTTTGATTTGATATAAATGATGCACGTGCAGTACTTGAACGGTGTATGCTTTCACAAAACTGAACTCAAATGTGTTACCTTGAGCTGGAGCCCACTCGGAGCGTTGGTACCCGGAACAAACAGGAGACCATCTCTGGTACAATACAAATATTGTTGCCCTCTCCTGCACTGCCTTTCCTACAGTCCTTTTCCTGGACTGACCTTTCCCATGCAGGTGGCAATCAGTCACCTGACAGCAAGCTTCAGCAGGTGTAGGTCTAAATCATATAGGGTCTGTCATTAACCTTTAGTATTCTTACAGAGAAGAGAGACTTCCCTGTTAGTCAATACGCAGATGAGTTTGTGCTTCATAACTGACAGCCCTGAATTAAATTAGTGGAAAGTACGTTAGTGCGATCTACCTGTTGTATAGCTGCAACTAGCATAGAAACATACGTCATCTTTGCCCTGACAGTCTTCACGCAAAAACTCACTTATTCCCTGAAGGAGGAATAAAGGTGAGAAAGTAGTCTCCTTAGGCTCCTCTGCACTCGGTGGAGAAACAACCTTCACTCACAGAAGCTTTTTCAGTCAGCGGTATCAGAAACTCCTTACACTGATACTGTTTCCCCTTAAACATATTGATAGGGAATATAATTAAAATATCTTATATAGTGATGAGAATCCTACATGAAAACTTTAAGTAATACAGAGAATAGTTATTTGTGTGTTAATAAAGATAGTAGGAACCAGTTGGCAACAAAATGTCAAGCACGTTGTGATTTGAATCAAGATTTCAAGAGCTAATACTACTTTTTCTTTCAAGGTAACTGCAATACACTCTTCACAATTGCTGTGGGTTTGAAACATTACACATAGTGTGCTAAGACAGTCTCAATTTAAAAATGACAGTAAACCCAATAAAGTGAAATAATTTTTAATTCCCTTTTTAAATGTGCATTTGAACTCAATACAGACCTGTAAGGCACTCTCATAGGTAAAAAAAATAAAAAATAAAAAACTAAACATTCTTTCCAAAATAAGGATAGTCACAAGGAAATGGTATGTGCATAAAATATAACCTTATCTGTAACTGATAAACAATGAAATATGAATGTTCAGGTTTTGGATGCATTGCAACGTAATGTCATTTCTGTATCATGACACAGAGTAAATATTGGCACTGTAAATGATTTCTCAATGGGGTTAGGGGCTTGTATTCTCTTCATATCCCAGTAAAAAATAAACTCTTTAATAAATAAATATATAAAATAAATATATGCTATCGGGAGATGTATAAATAGGTCCATCCTGAAGAAAAGTTCCAGCTCTGACTATGATGCATCAACATCTAAGGTCCATCACTAAAGTGGACCCACTAAAACTTCATATACAGTTCTCAAGATGTATTACTATTTTGCAGTCCATTTCTTTCTATTTCTTCCAGCTGTTGGCTCATCCACATGATGTAGGTAGTTCTTTGCTAATATATGGACCATAGGTAATCCAGGCAAAATTGCCAAGAGTTCGTTATTTTTTAAAAAGTCACACTCCAACTTCCCTCTGGTTCCTGGCTACCAAACAGTTCAGCAAGTTTGAAGGAGGCTGGTCCACTCTCAGCTTCAAGGCTTTGTCTCCTAAATCCAAAGGTTAGAAAACAGAGGCTGGCCTATCACAAAGTAGCTTCTTCCAATCCAGCATCCTAGACCTCTGCAGGTTCCTCATGCTGGTATTGCCACGAAATCAGGGGCAACAGCTCCAGTACGGGTTTTCTCCAAAGTTGCCTCCTTCCTCAGCTGTAGCCTAATACATCTTTGTACAGTTCTGGAACTCTTTCAGGATCCACGGGCCGGGGCAAGAAATGGGTGAATTTCTGGTGTCTTTTGGACCTTGCCCCATCCCTGGGAGTACCGTCTTTGTTAAGTGCTACGAAGTATCGCCGCCCCGAATCTCCATGTTTGTACACGTTGGATGAGTAAGTGTTGTACCAGTTTTCCTCAAATTGTTCCCTGAAGATGCATTCAGAAGTTAGTTTCTCCTACAGAAAGAAACGGTGAAGAAATATAAGTCAAGCTGTCGCTAGATATCTGAACATACATGAAAAAAATATGCTAAACAAAATGTTTTAGGCTTTGCATGGCTTTACTGTTTATTTAACTGTCAACAAATCAAACCCAAGAAGAGTATGTAGACCTGACGCTGAGTTTGGAAGCCTACTTTAACCTTTATTCTTTTGAAAACTGGAGCTGTACATACACAATTTTGGATTTAAACATGAATTAGATAACTCTCTCTCTAGGAAGGTATTACTTATTTATGATTTAATTAAAATTCACCTGACCTACAGGAATTATATTATGTAGAGTTCTGTCTTGGGGGATCTACCATTCTAGAAATGAGATTTGGTGGTAGGACTCAGGTGCAATGTAACAGATCAGGAAGGTATTTCTATATGTTCTTTGTGGTGTGCATCACTTCTCACATTTTAAATAGGACTAACCACAACCAAAGGAACTGGAGAGACAGAGTATTTTATCTCAAGATATTTTAAGACTTGACAGGAGAAGAATCTAAGACTGTTATTACCCTGATAGTATTGGAAAAAACCAAGGATTATATTTTAACTGTCATATGCTGAAGTTATTCAACAGATACAAACCAAATGTAATGAGTACAAGCTTATTTTCATTCTTAAATGCAAATATTCCAGTCAGGATCTACAGATACTGCCAGTACTCTTGCACCATTCAGATTTTTCAAACAACAGCAGTACCTAACTGTGACATTCGGTATTATCCTTTTTCCCAGCATTTGAAAGAATGCTTTTATGTTAAAAAGCTGGTACCTGGAAGTACCACCTGCTGATTTCTAAAGGAGCATTAGGCTACACATAAAGTAAGTCAGGGTACCACATTAATTGTTGTTTATTTGTTCCATAACTATCCTTTCAACTTTCTTCCAGTTGCATTCAATGTTTTTGATGGCAGAGTATGCACTATCACACATTTGCAGTATCGATAAAAAGAAAATTAGATAGCAGGAAACTTAAACACTGTTTGAATAGCTGGTTTTATTTAGCTATTTTTGTCATCATTTAAGAGGAATATTTCTTTTCAGTTCTCTTCATCTAAGACAGAGAAACTTTTCCCATTGAATCTTTAGCGTCCAAGGCTATACTGTACACTTTAAAAATACATTATACATTTCAACAGAAAAAAGATGTTAGTGTTTTGAAAGCTAAGATGACCTCAGCTAGCTACTTGAGGGGTTTGCATAGCGCTAAGAAGTGAATCAAAACCTCAGTGTGTACGAGCTGACATGAAAGCGGTACTTACAGAGCCATAGAGTTCTCCCTTCTCATTCATTCCAAGGTAAAGGCCACTGTCCACGCCTCTAATACTGACCAGTCCCACAGCCACACTGATGAATTCAAGGATACCTGAAAAAAAAAGAGATTGCTTTGATTCAGCTCATAAGCGTACAACACGTAGCATCCAAAACACAGTTGAAAACAAGCAGAGAATGTACACGTTATAATAAATGTGGCCTAGTTTCTCTGAAACTTCAAATACTGTATGGAAACATATACAACATTCACAGGAAAGCAGCTCAAGAAGCCTCATCTAGGAAAAAGAATCCTACGCCATTTAAGAATTATTTTTTTCTAACGTTGAATATGAGAGGATTTTATTCAGCACTGATGCTAAAGCCTTCAGTACTACGCAGGTGGAATCTATAATGATTATACACTATTTGCTAAACTGCCTACTCAAACATTGGAAGATCGGTATGAATTACCTGAAAAAACACTTTACTTTCTCTACAGCATTATCTTAAAAAAACACATCCATTATTAGATCATTTGAATGGAAATCAAAGTACAGATGGGAATTTTATATAACAGAATCTACCCACAGGAAAAATGAAAAAGTATTTGCCAGACATCTTATCTAGCATATGGGCCCACACCTCTTGACACAACTTGCTGTCTTCGGTGCAGGCTTTTTATGTGCATGAAATATGCTGCTTATTTGCTAGTGTTTGGATTATAGCATTATTTATATTACATTTGCCCCAAAATGTAATATATATTAATAATATATTCGGGAGATGAGGCACTATTTGAAGCCTGGCATTTGAATTTGGCAAGGGTACGCCAACATATTTAACCAATGATATGCACAGATTACAGTATGTATAAAACATGAAAGAAAGGGAACGTGTGAACTGGCTTTTTGGAAGTTGTTAACAATGTAAACAAAACCTCTAAAAGAAGTTGTTCTAGAATCATACCTAAGATTTTGCTGTGTGCCAGCAAAACCACAAAACATTAAAAAAATAGTAAGTCTGAATCTAAGGTAAGTGGTTTTAAATAGTGCATTTGATTTTGATTCTGACTTGTTGTCTATTTGCTGTATTTATGATTACTCTTTTTCATTCAGGATCATTTTTCACTCTCAGACAGATGGACTGTCTGGACTATACAATAATTTAAAATGTTTTGAATTTTAATTGAACTTTGGTAGGTTTCTTATTTATATTACCAAGCAGCAAAGAAAATCAATCCTTTACAAAGAGTAGTGATTGAAAACTCTATTGCATGTAAATCATCCTAGTTTTGCAGTTCCTAAAGCACAAAGTCCCACAAAAAGAAGTGGAGGTATTTTGTCTTTCTGGTATCATTTTCAAAGCCGCCCTTTTTCAAAACTATAATAAGCAGGTGATTCAACCCACAAAGCAACCACATCAGACAAACCTGCCGAGAATAGTGGTAGAAAAAAGGAAGAACATTTCTAAAAAGCCCAGTAAATGTTTGATCTGGGGCTAACTTTTTTTTCTTTTAAAGCAAAGATTTATTTCATGTTTACACGCTGTAGGAAATCTTTCTTCTGAGAAGAACTGTCTGTTTGACTACTGCTCTTTTACTTCTGAAAACATCCATGCGTTAAAAAAGCAATTAAGAGCCATTCCAGCAGATTGTTTTGACTATGGGGAGGATGATAGGAAACGCTTTAATCACCTTTTTTACGACTGCTAAATCAATACGTACAAAAATTCACATGTAGCCGACATCGTCAGGTTGGTTCAGATGTCCAGTTCCTACAACTACTATTTAGGATTTACTCTTATATCACAGGAAACCTTTACATTTGGGGGTTGTCTTCACCTCCTTTTGGTTTATCGACAGAGAAAGTTGACTGGGAAGCATTTTAAGTATTTGAGCAAAGAGGTATTTTAGGTCCCTCTGCTTCAACTTTCTGTCCTGCGAAACCGTGCGGTCTAACGCAGCCTACGGGTCAGCACGCCCGAGTCCACGATCTGTGTTATTCTACAAAGACTCAAGAAGCTCCGATACAGACAGCGAATGCAAAAAGAATCAGTCTTGACTTTCAACCTCTCCCACTAAACCCGCGGGCGTACACATGTGCTTGTGGACATCCAGCACAGGCTGAGCAAGGCGTCCATGCCCACCTCCTGCCTTGCGTGGGATACCCGACCCTCCCTCGCCACCTTGCAGCCCCCATGGTTTAATGCCGAAGGGTGAGGCCGGTCCTAAGAGCTCACCCACCCGCCCCGGCATCGCTGGCATCACGCCTCCCTCCCAAGAGCAGGACTGCTCACGCCCAGGTACACACACACGCACGCACACGTCAGGGCACACCCGCACAGGCAGCACAGGCGCAGGC